TTATTACAGGCCCAAACCCAAACCCCATTTTTTAAACCCATCAAATAAAATAAACCAGACCGATCCAGCTGTGCTCGACGAGTTTCCAAACGCAGAGTCCCATTTGCGCTGAATCCATCTCCCGCAGTACGCATGCTCCTCTTCCTTTCCGTCTTCAATCGGCCGCACACTCAATCTTCCCGCCAGGTATTTCCGTCGCTGGCTAAGTCGTTTTAATAGCTCACTCGCTTGTAGAGTTGTAGTCGCTTCAATCGTCCGCACGCTCAGTCCTGGTCCGCAGTTTTACTAAATTTTTTCTAGACTTGGACTTTTAACTTTATTGTGTGGGTGGGTATGTGATTCGTATTTGTTTAGTTATTACTCCAGTTGGGTACGTGGGTTTAAAATCATCCAACTTTGTATATTAACTTTGTATTTAATATTTGTAAAAAAAAATTGTATTTAATATTTTGTTGGGCAGTTTGAATTTAATGTTGTATTTAATGTGATGAACTGTTAATGTTTTACAGAAAGTTAAATAGTTTTTGAAAAGTTAGTATTGTACCACTATTGCCTGTCCCAAGCCAGGATAAAGGAGGAGGGTGCTGTGGTAGGCGCGTGACGGCCAACAGTATCACTTAGTCACATCACATGACATGAATCAAAATATGAATATCGCTACAGCTAGGTCGTCGCCCGTAAGCGACGCGTCATCCCTTCGCCTGGGGGTGGTGTCAAATGAGCAAGGGCGCGCTACACTTCATAGGCCTGGGTGTGGTGATAAGAATGCTAAGGCTGCTAGGTCGTTGCCCGGAAGCGATGCGCCACTCCAATGCCTGGGGATGGTGTCAAATATGCAAGGGCATGGTGGGGGTCGATGTGGGGTGAAGAAGAGAAGGCAGGGTGTTAGATTGCGCTTTGGGACATGGAATCTTGGCTCTCTTACGGGAAGATCATCTGAGATGGCCAAGGTTATGAAGAGGAGGAATATCAGCATAATGTGCATGCAAACTAAGTGGGTTGGAGAAAAGGCACGCGAGATTAATCCCGGAGGTTTTAAGCTTTGGTACTCGGGGAGAGAGAGGAGCAGAAATGGAGTAGGCATTATGGTGGCACATGATTATGTTGACGGTGTGGTTGAAGTGTTTAGGAAGAACGATCACATCATGAGCATTAAGTTGATAATCGGGGATGAGATCGTGTCCGTGGTTAGTGCCTATGCACCACAAGTGGGATTGGATGCATTTATCACTCAACAATTTTGGGAGGATCTTGAGAAAGTGGTGCGACGAGTGCCAAGGGGAGAGAAACTGGTCATAGGAGGCGACCTCAACGGGCATGTGGGCCCAAGTCGTGATGGTTTTGAGAGTGTCCATGACGGACATGGTTTTGGCACTAGAAATGAAGCGGGGAAGAAGAGCATTCTGGATTTTGCCTCGACATATGAGTTGGCTGTGATGAAACTTGGTTCCAGAAAAGAGACTCTCACCTTGTCACCTACATAAGTGGAGCTAATAGTACCCAATTTGACTACTTTTTAGTACGGACGACTTGGAGAACTAGCTACACTGATTGTAAGGTTATCCGAGGTGAGAGTGCTGTCACTCAGCATAGGATGCTTGTGCTTGATTTTCGAGGTAAAAAGAGGAGACGGGTTAAGGTACAAGGGGAGCCAAAGATAAAATGGTGGAGGCTTGAGGTGAATCTCCAACAAAGTTTTTCACACAAAATGTTGGAGAAAGATGTTTGGTCTATTGATAATGACGCACACGTGGATGATGTGTGGTTATCAATGGAGTCCACCATTAACAAAGTGGCGAAGGAGATACTCGGAGAATCTAAAGGATGTCTGCCACCAAAAAAGGACACATCTTGGTGGAATGATGAGGTGAAACAAGCAATAAGGGCCAATAGAGAATGCTATAAGAAATTGGGCAAAAATTGGAGCGACGAGAACATAGAGGAGTACAAAGAGGCTAGAAGAAGAGCAAAGAAAGCTGTGAAGGAAGCCAAAGGAAAAGTGAATAAGGAATTGTATGTAAAGTTGGATTCTAAGGAAGGAGAAAAAGATATCTACAAACTTGCTCGCCTTCGTGACCGTAGGACTCAAGATATCAGAAAAGTTAAGTGTATGAAGTATGTAGATCAAAGGGTACTAATGGACGACGAAGAAATAAAAGAGAGGTGGAGGTCATACTTTGATACCTTGTTCAACGGGAATAAAGTCCAAGGTATTGATGATCTTACTATACCAGAGTGTGGTAAATAGGGACTTCGTGAGAAGGATTCAAACAACAGAAGTTAAAGAGGCTATGAGAAAAATGGGCCGGAAGAATGCAGTGGGCCCAGATGGCATACCGATCGAGGCTTGGAGAAGTTTGGGAGAGAAAGGCATCAAGTGGTTAACACGTTTCTTCAACATGATTTGGAGAAACAACAAAATGCCAGTGAGTTGGCGGAAGAGTACTCTCATTCCCTTATTTAAAAATAAGGGTGATGTACAAGAATGTGCTAACTATCGAGGGATTAAGCTTATGAGTCACACCATGAAACTTTGGGAGCGAGTGGTAGAGCAAAGACTACGTAAAAGTGTGAAAATTTCGGAGAATCAATTTGGTTTTATGCCTGGACGCTCAACAACTGAGGCCATTCACCTTCTTAGACAAGTTGTGTAGAAGTATAGAGACACTAAAAAGGATCTGCATTTGGTGTTAATTGACTTAGAAAAGGCATATGATAGGGTACCTCGAGAAGTTCTTTGGTGGGCCTTAACTAGAAAAGGCATATCACGTAAGTATATCAGCATCATCATGGATATGTATGATGCTTGTACTACAAGTGTCCGCACTAGTGTAGGGAGGACCGCAGAGTTCCCTATTACTATTGGAGTGCACCAAGGATCTGCTCTGAGTCCTTTCTTATTTGCTTTAGTCATGGATGAACTTACGAAGTCAATTCAAGAAGATATACCGTGGTGCATGATGTTTGCCGACGATATTGTATTGATTGATGAGACACAATCCGGTGTTAAAGCAAAGTTGGAAGTATGGCGACGAACATTGGAGAGCAAGGGTTTCAAACTGAGCCAAAGCAAGACTGAGTATATGGAGTGCAAGTTCGGTGGAGGTAGAAGCAGTAGCAACAGTGGGATTACTCTTGATGGTAAGGAGATACCGGTGTGTGATATGTTCCGTTACTTGGGATCCATAATTCAGAAGGATGGTGAATTAGATGGAGATGTATGTCATAGAATCAGAGCTGGGTGGATGAAATGGAAAAGTGCTTCAGGATTTCTATGCAATCGAGGTATGCCGACTAAACTGAAAGGTAAATTTTATCGTACAACAATTAGGTCGGCATTAATGTATGACGTAGAGTGTTGGGCGGTGAAGCAATGCCACATTCAAAAGATGAGTGTGACAGAGATGCGGATGTTGCGTTGGATGTGGACATACCAGAAAAGACCGCTTGAGGAACGAGGTAATCAGACAAAAGGTGGAAGTAGCACTTATAGAAGATAAGATGCAGGAGTCTCGTTTGCGGTGGTTTGGGCATGTGCATAGAAGACCGAATGATGCACCTGTTAGACGACTTGAGGGGTGGGGAGAAGAGTCAGAGAAGAGAGGGAGGGGAAGACCCAAACAAACTTGGATTAGAGTAATCAAAACTGATATGCGTCTTCTTGGGTTGGATGAGAGTATGGCTTTGGAGAGAGCAAAGTGGAGGGCGCACATCCATGTGGACGATTGATGTCTTGTCTACCTTTCCTCTCTTGTTTCTTTTATCGTTTATCTTCCTTATCCTTTTATATTCTTAAGTTATTTTTATCTTCTAGCTTTTTTATGCTCTTTTATTTATTTTTCTTTTATCTTGGTTATATTCTTGTGTTATTGTTATCTTATATTTATGTATCTTTATTTTATTCATTTTATCTTACTCTTTTTCCTTTTCTTGTCCGCCTTCTCTTTTTGGCATCGATATCATAGATCGATTCATGTTAGCCGACCCCAAATTCTTTTGGGATTAAAGCTTGGATGTTGTTGTTGTAGTATTGTACCACTATTACTATTTTAAGAAAAGTTTTAATTTTATGAAAACAAATTTCAGTTTGTCCCCAAATAATGAATAAATTTCAGTAGTTTTTGGATTACGTTATTTCTATTTTCTAGTTGTTGGATTATGGATATTGTTTGTGATTGTTTTGATGAACTATAAGCTTATGGTTATGGTCTTATGGATTATGTTATTTCCATGATTACATGTTTTATTACTTGATTTCCTTCATTAGTAGTGTTGGCTATAAGTGTTACATGTAGGCTTTTTAGTATGTAAAACATATTATGAATTTATTAGTGTATATGTCGACTTATCGCCGCGACTCCGCCACGACATGCGCCATATCGCCATGGCGGTATGGCAGTCCAAAGGTGCCGCGCCGCAAAACCCTGCCGTAACAACTATGGATGTGGTACATATTGAATTGATAGAGTGAGAATAAAGAACGATTTAGAACTACACAAACATTACCAACTTTGATATGAGACAATCTTAGTGGGGTAAACTAAAAAGGAAAATGGACAATTTTAACAGGAAGGAGGGAGTATAAATGCATGTAAAATTATGCAAGAAAGTAATCATGGTCTGTTTTGCGTTTCATGTTCCAAGGTAAAGAATCAAAGATAAGATAACAAATTGACATTTCGCCCCCTTATTCTGAGATCCAAACATTACCCTTTTAAATTCTTGAGAAATTAATTCCCAAGAAAAGGTAACTTTCCGTGGGGTATTCTAATCATCCTATGGTTGAATATTTTTCCATTATATAATACAAGGAATTGATCGAACCTTTTCAAGTCAAGAATCACCAACTTTCTAGGGAAGTACTTTTACTTTTACCAGACACCAGAATCACCAACTTCCTAGGGAAGTACTTTTACTGGTACAAACACGCTGTAATAGTTTAGAGGGAGTGGATTTTAACAAAGCTTACTTTGATTTTAACAAATGCTTGGGTAGTGCAGATAACATCTTCACTCTGAGAGAATGGTGTTCCAACAAATTCCCTCAGGCCAAAGAGCAACTTGATCACCTATACAATGAGGTAATACTTTTCTGGACTCAAACGGCCATCATAGTAAGACTTTTGAAATCCAGGATTACAACATATGTTAAAAAATATGGAGTGTCTGGTGTTGGTCTTTGACAAAATATTTTCCAATGATAAATCACTTGGTATACATTTTCTTTCAGGTGGGAATCACAGACGAGTTTGACTATTTGGAGCTACCTGCGGCAGTCCCCCATCTCCCTGATAAAGACCAGATAGTGTGACTAGTGAGTGAGTGACTCAATTTACGTGTTCTAAAAATTGCTTTCTATTTGCAAAAAATTGCTTTCTCTACAACCACTCGTTATTATGAACCCAAGCTCATCCCCAGCTCTCTGCCTGTCAGCCAAACTGGGCATGAGTTTCTACTGCCACGTAGTTTTCACTTGAATGTATTGTGTATGCATGCATGCATGCCTCTCTTGTTGAATCGTTAAGCCAACATGATGAGTACAATTGGATGTATCAACTATACCAGTGGTTTAATTTAGGGCGGTTACCATCCAAAACACCCATATCATTATACAATATATGCTTGTTGCATCACATTTGTCTGATCTTGGTCTGTCCTTTGGAGTTTCACTTTTATATCATCGGCGCTCAAATGGATGTCTAGAGTATACAATTGATATTTTTGCCATACACTTGATTTTGTTAGGGAGAATTATCAAATAGAACCCTCGTATTGAATCAAATTTGGTAATTCACATCCAAGCATCCAAATATCCAGTTAATCACATAAATTGTAAAAAACATCAAATTCCTACAAATAGCAGGTTGTTGTTTTTAGTTTGCATGCAACCTTGACTTGCGGGATAAATGTTTTTTATTCACCTCTTCTTTTTAATCTCCCAAGCACTATTGTCATGATGTAGTTGCTCAAGTGTCGCGATTTAAGGTCCTGGGCCAGAATCTAGTCCAGGGGAGGGGTAGAGGTATCCGGTCTCGGGCTCCTAATTTTCGACCGCCAACAACTAGTTTATATGCTATATATATATTATTTTTCTTTTTCCCTATTGGTTGGCCATTTGAACGTTGGGGAGAAGGGGAGTAGCCTCCTCCAACGGATCTTTTGACCGTTGGAGGGGGTGGGGTGGGGTATATTTCATTTTTATACACCCTTAGTATTAACTTTCATTTTTATACACCCTTAGTCCTTCCATCTTCATCAATTTATATTTCATTCTCCCATCTTCATCAATCTTAACATTATATATATCAAACATATAAATATATTCATAGAATTTGGTTCAAATGTGAAATATAAATGCGAACTATCATAAATTAGAACTTTGCATTAATTAACAATAAATGGAGAAGCTAATAATGTATGTCTAGGGATGGATTCGGTTCGGGCCACCCGGCCCGTGACCCGGCCCGGCCCGGTACTGTGCGGGCCCGGAACCGGCCCGGTCGGGCGGTCCGGGACCGGGTATGGGCCCGAACCGGTGGGAAGGGGCGGGGCGGGCTCGGTTCAGCATTATTGTGACCCGGCCGGGTCGGGCCCGGGCCCGGCCGGGTCGGGCCCGGTTCAATTTTTTAATTTTTTTTTTTTTTTGGTTTGGGCTCCTACTAGCTGTTGGGGGTGGGGCTGGGGACAACCCAAACGGCTATATAGCCGTTGGGTGGGGTAAAGGGGGGGTCCGGGGGGGTTGGGTGGTGGTGGGGGGGGGGGGTAAAAAAACCTATAAATACTCCTAATCTTAAACATTTTTTCATATCTCTTCTCCAATTCTTCCTAAATCCTATTCTTAACTCTCTACTCTCTAATTCTCTTATTCTCCATTCTTCAATATATTATATTTATTATTTATAGTTTATATTAATTATCTACTTATATAAACTATAAATAGATATAAATAGTATTATATTACTTATATTTGTTATCTAATTATATATTACTTATATATTTATTATATCTATTAATATAGTTGGAATTATATCTAATTAATTAGAAGTCATTCTATTACTCCCATCCGAAAGTCCGAAAGAGGTACGAAATTATTTTATTATTTACACTTGTTTAATTACTAGTTAATTAGTATAGTTGGAAATACAATTTTTTATTAATATAGTTGGAATTACAATTTTTTATTAATGGCTACATTTGACTCTAGTTTAAAAAATATGTTGTACACAAAACTAGTTAATTCACTACTTAATTTGCTATAACTCGAATTAATAGTTAGATAAATAGTTAATTAGTTTTTTTTACAATTTTTTATTAATGGCTACATTTGACTCTAGTTTAAAAAATATGTTGTACACAAAACTAGTTAATTCACTACTTAATTTGCTATAACTCGAATTAATAGTTAGATAAATAGTTAATTAGTTTTTTACAATTTTTTATTAATTGCTACATTTGATTCTAGTTTAAAAAATATGTTGTACACAAAACTAGTTAATTCACTACTTAATTTGCTATAACTCGAATTAATAGTTAGATAAATAGTTAATTAGTTTTTTACAATTTTTTATTAATTGCTACATTTGACTCTAGTTTAAAAAATATGTTGTACACAAAACTAGTTAATTCACTACTTAATTTGCTATAACTCGAATTAATAGTTAGATAAATAGTTAATTAGTTTTTTACAATTTTTTATTAATCACTACATTTTTTAGATGGATCGTCCTAGATATTCGGTTGATATGGGTAACCTCGAGCGCAACCGAACGAACGAGCTTGCGAGGAAGAGATCCCGCAAAGGTAAATCACATATCGACTCTTCATCTCAAAGTCAAGATGATTTTGATACGGGTTACGTAAGGAGGGATGGGGATGCGATGACCGACGAACAACTAGAACAAGAATTGCACCGACATAATTCCCGCTTTTTTCAAGACCAACCGAGGACCATTGATGAAGAAGAGCTCGAGGACGAGGACGACGATGTGGAGGAAGCAATTCCGGAGAGCCACGAGGAGGAGGAGGAGGAGGGTGGCGGCAGCCATGACGCCGACCAAGCAGCCTCATCCCAAACACCGGGAATTGGACCGCAACTTGCAATTGGTGCAAGAAAAACTATAGCTTGGAGATTTCCGGCGGATACGGATCCGCCACAAGACACCTTAAGTCCAAACACCCGATGGAGTATGCAAAATTAGGCGGCGGAACGGGGAAGCAAACGCAAATATCGAGGTTTGCAAATAACCAACAAGCTTTTGGTAATTTCTCATACAATGATGCACAAAATTTGACAGGTATGACTAACTTACTTGTCGAAGAAAATTTGCCTTATTTGTTTTCTGAAAGTCTTGCTTTTCGTGATCATGCACAAACTTGTTTAAATCCGCAATATAGAGGTTATAGTCGCAAAACGGTTAAGAAAGAAATTTCAAGGCTTTATGGTGCGGAAAAGGTAAGGTTACAAAATTATTTTGCAAACTTTGATGGACGTGTTACTGTATGTTCTGACATATGGGATGATACTTATCATAATTTACATTATTTGGGTCTGACTGTACATTATATTGATAATGATTGGCATATGCATAAACGTGTTCTTGCTTTCCGTGAATTTAATGATCGTCACACCGCTGAACATATTTATATTTTGATTGAACGTATTTTAATTGAGTATAATTTAATTGATAAGGTGTTTGCTATTGGTTTTGATAATGCTACTAATAATACTGATGCTATTCCTAGATTGCGTGAATTGTGTGGTTCTACTTCTTTGATGGGTAGATTTTTTCATCAACGATGTGCATGTCATGTTATAAATTTATGTGTGCAAGATGTTCTAAAAGCGTTGGGAGCATCGTTGGAGGTAGTCAAGGGGGGGATTAGACGTATTTGGGGTAATGGATACCTTAGGAAAAAATGGCATGATTATTTGATAGAAAGAGGTGAGAGATATGTGGCTTTTCCAAAAGATTTGTCTATTCGTTGGAATAGTACCTATAAGTTAATTGGAGTTCTTCTTAGATATAAACAACATTTTCCTGCCTTAATGAAACAATATGATAACTATATTATAAACTCGGCTGAGATCGACACCTGTGAAAAAATTTGTAATGCTTTGATATATTTTAATAATGCAACTGAAACTTTTAGTCATGTTTATAAACCTACCTCAAACCAATTTATTCGTGAAGCTGTTAATCTCGCCGGTGCTTTTTCAAATTTTGAGAATGCTGATTATGTGAGTTATTTTGCTGGTTTTATGAAGGAAAAGTTTTTAAAATATTATTCACATATTCCGCATATTTATGGTATTGCATTTGTTCTCGATCCTCGTTTTAGACTTGGTTCTTTAGAAGAATGTTTGAATTATTATTATGCTGCTTTTTTTGGTCCATTGCCAATGTATGGGGACAACCCAATTGATCCGAAAAAAGAATACTACGAGGTTAGTGATATATTTTATGCATTATTCAATGAGTTTCATTCACAATATGGCAATGCGCCCCCTCCCCCGACACAAACATCATCTAAAGGAAAATCAATTTTCAAATCTACGTTTGCCAATCTTATTAAAAAAACAAAATCAACTCCCGCTACACAACAAAGCACAATTAATGAGATTTCTTTGTATTTAACTTATGATGTTGATTTTGAAGAAGATGATGATTTTGACGTACTAAACTGGTGGAAGGGAAAAGAAAGAATGTTCCCGGTTTTAGCAAAGATGGCTAAGCAAGTGCTATCAATGTCGGTTTCAACGGTTGCCGTGAAACAAGAATTTAGTTCGGCCGGCAATGTTCTAACACAAACCAGAACGAGGTTGAGCGCTGAATCTCTTGAGATGCTTATATGCTACCACGATTGGTTGAAAGCAGCACGTAGAGTTCAAGAAATTGACATCACTCCATCCCAACACTTTATGGATGAATCTACAGAGGGTGGCTCTACTTATGCCGGAGATTCCGATTACAAACAATTATACTTCCTATTTAATTTTCAAATGTAGTTCCTATTTCATTTCAAATAAATGCACTTGAAGTTTGTTTTTTAATACTTGTATAAAACTATAAAGTATAAAATATAAATTAAAAAAAAAAATTTAACCGGCCCGGCCCGGCGGGTGGCCCGACCCGTGACCCGGGCGGGTGGCCCGGCCCGAACCGGACCCGTCCAACCCTCGGGCCGGTCCCGGGCCCACTATTCTAGAACCGGCGGCCCGACCGGGCCCGACCCGGCCCGAATCCATCCCTATGTATGTCCTTCCGTCCCTCGCTCACTACGCGTAGAGTTGGGAGTTCCACCACGTCCAGCGTGCGGTAGTTCATCGTTCGTCGAGTGCTTACGTAGTTACGTCATAGTTTGGTTTGTGGTTAGAACGGGTGCGCATGCTTTCGTCCAGCGTCGTAGCTTTCGTCCAACAATGTGAAGCTAGGGCACAAGTTTGGGTCGCAACAGTCTAGAGCAAATAGCAAGACGACGATCGGGATTCACGATGACATCGGTGAAGGATCTCGTGCATGATTATCAAGGCTTGGTTCTAAAGGAAGAGGAGGAAGGCCTTCTACTTGATGTAGAAGAAGGGTCGACGGGTGAAAAAGAAAAAAGGTATCATTCTTGGCTGTTGGAGTGCTTCTCACTAATGAGCACTAGCAGGTAACATTTCATTTCTTTAGGGATGTTATGGCATCTTTTTGGAGACCCGTTAAAGGTGTTTCAATTAAAGAAATTGGTGACAAAAGATATATCTTTATTTTCTACCATGTGATTGACATGAAGCGTGTGATTGAGCATGATCCATGTAGTCATGTACTCGGGCCGAGCCTAGGCCCGGTCGGGCCGCCGGTTCGTATCATATGGGCCCGGGATCGGCCCGAGGGTTGGACGGGTCCGATTCGGGCCGGGCCACCCGCCCGGGTCACGGGTCGGGCCACCCGCCGGGCCGGGTCGGTTATTTTTTTTTTGTTTTTATAATTTATATTTTATACTTTATAGTTTTATACAAGTATTAAAAAACAAACTTCAAGTGCATTTATTTGAAATGAAATAGGAACTACATTTGAAAATTAAATAGGAACTACAATTGTTTTTAAAACATGAAATACTAATCAATCATTCAATCGGAATCTCCGGCATAGGTAGAGCCACCCTCGGTTGTAGATTCATCCATAAAGTGTTGGGATGAGGTGATGTCAATTTCTTGAGCTCTACGGGCTGCTTTCAACCAATCGTGGTAGCAGGTAGCATATAAGCATCTCAAGAGATTCAGCGCTCAACCTCGTTCTGGTTTGTGTTAGGACATTGCTGGCCGAACTAAATTCTTGTTCCACGGCAACCGTTGAAACCGGCATTGATAGCACTTGCTTAGCCATCTTTGCTAAAACCGGGAACATTCTTTCTTTTCCCTTCCACTAGTTTAGTACGTCAAAATCATCATCTTCTTCAAAATCAACATCATAAGTTAAATACAAAGAAATCTCATTAATTGTGCTTTGTTGTGTATCGGGAGTTGATTTCGTTTTTTTAATAAGATTGGCAAACGTAGATTTGAAAATTGATTTTCCTTTAGATGATGTTTGTGTCGGGGGAGGGGGCGCATTGCCATATTGTGCATGAAACTCATTGAATAATGCATAAAATATATCACTAACCTCGTTGTATTCTTTTTTCGGATCAATTGGGTTGTCCTCATACATTGGCAATGGACCAAAAAAAGCAGCATAATAATAATTCAAACATTCTTCTAAAGAACCAAGTCTAAAACGAGGATCGGGAACAAATGCAAATATGCAATACCATAAATATACCGAATATGTGAATAATATTTTAAAAACTTTTCCTTCATAAAACTAGCAAAATAACTCACATAATCAGCATTCTCAAAATTTGAAAAAGCACCGGCGAGATTAACAGCTTCACGAATAAATTGGTTTGAGGTAGGTTTATAAACATGACTAAAAGTTTCAGTTGCATTATTAAAATATATCAAAGAATTACAAATTTTTTCACAGGTGTCGATTTCAGCCGAGTTTATAATATATTTATCATATTGTTTCATAAAAGCAGGAAAATGTTGTTTATATCTAAGAAGAACTCCAATTAACTTATAGGTACTATTCCAACGAATAGACAAATCTTTAGGAAAAGCCACATATCTCTCATCTCTTTCTATCAAATAATCATGCCATTTTTTCCTAAGTTGTCCATTACCCCAAATACGTCTAATCCCCCCTTTTGACTACCTCCAACGATGTTCCCAACGCTTTTAGACCATCTTGCACACATAAATTTAGAAAATGACATGCACATCATTGATGAAAAAATCTACCCATCAAAGAAGTAGAACTACACAATTCACGCAATCTAGGAATAGCAGCAGTATTATTAGTAGCATTATCAAAATCAATAGCAAACACCTTATCAATTAAATTATACTCAATTAAAATACGCTCAATCAAAATATAAATATGTTCAGCGGTGTGACGATCATTAAATTCACGGAAAGCAAGAACACGTTTATGCATATGCCAATCATTATCAATATAATGTACAGTCAGACCCAAATAATGTAAATTATGATAAGTATCCTCCCATATGTCAGAACATACAGTAACACGTCCATCAAAGTTTGCAAAATAATTTTGTAACCTTACCCTTTCCGCACCATAAAGCCTTGAAATTTCTTTCTTAACCGTTTTGCGACTATAACCTCTATATTGCGGATTTAAACAAGTTTGTGCATAATCACGAAAAACAAGACTTTCAGAAAACAAATAAAGCAAATTTTCTTCAACAAATAAGTTAGCCATACCTGTCAATTTTTGTGCATCATTGTATGAGAAATTACCAAAAGTTTGTTGGTTATTTGCAAACCTCGATATTTGCGTTTGCTTCCCTGTTCCGCCGCCTAATTTTGCATACTCCACCGGGTGTTTGGACTTAAGGTGTCTTGTGGCGGATCCGTATCCGCCGGAAATCTCCAAGCTATAGTTTTTCTTGCACCAATTTCAAGTTGCGGTCCAATTCCCGGTGTTCGGGTCTTTCCACTTAGAAAAATTATTAGCAATTAGTTCATATTTACTTTTTTTTGTACCTGTTTGGGATGAGACAGGTTGGTCGGCGTCATGGCTGCCGCCACCCTCCTCCTCGTCGTCGTGGCTCTCCAGAATTACTTCCTCCACATCGTCGTCCTCGTCCTCGAGCTCTTCTTCGTCAATGGTCCTCGGCTGGTCTTGAAAAAAGCGGGAATTATGTCGGTACAATTCTTGTTCTAGTTGTTCGTCGGTCATCGCATCCCCATCCCTCCTTGCGTAACCCGTATCAAAATCATCTCGACTTTGAGATGAAGAGCCGATATGTGATTTACCTTTGCGGGATCTCTTTCTCGCAAGCTCTTTCGTTCGGTTGCGCTCGAGGTTACCCATATCAACCGAATATCTAGGACGATCCATCTAAAAAATGTAGCGATTAATAAAAAATTGTAAAAAAGTAATTAACTATTTATCTAACTATTAATTCGAGTTATAGCAAATTAACTAGTGAATTAACTAGTTTTGTGTACAACCTATTTTTTTAAACTAGAGTCAAATGTAGCAATCAATAAAAAATTGTAAAAAAGTAATTAACTATTTATCTAACTATTAATTCGAGTTATAGCAAATTAACTAGTTTTGTGTACAACCTATTTTTTTAAACTAGAGTCAAATGTAGCAATTAATAAAAAAATGTAAAAAAGTAATTAACTATTAATCTAACTATTAATTCGAGTTATAGCAAATTAACTAGTGAATTAACTAGTTTTGTGTACAACATATTTTTTGTACTAACAATGAAATTAATACACTTTAACTTTAACTATAATTAGAATTACAACTAGTTTTTTAAACTAGAGTCAAATGTAGCAAATTGTACAACCTAATTAACTATTTTTTAATAAAGTAATTAACTATTAATCTAACTATTAATTCGAGTTATAGCAAATTGTACAACCTAATTAACTAGTTTTTTTTTCAAGTAACGTTAATACAAAATTAAACAAGTGTAAATAATAGAATAATTTCGTACCTCTTTCGGACTTTCGGTCTTTCGGATGGGAGTAATAGAATGACTTCAAATTAATTAGATATAATTCCAACTATACTAATAGATATAATAAATATATAAGTAATATATAATTAGATAACAAATATAAGTAATATAATACTATTTATATCTATTTATAGTTTATATAAGTAGATAATTAATATAAACTATAAATAATAAATATAATATATTGGAGAATAAGAGAATTAGAGAGTAGAGAGTTAAGAATAGGATTTAGGAATAATTGGAGAAGAGATATGAAAAAATGTTTAAGATTAGGAGTATTTATAGGTTTTTTTGCCCCCCACCCCCACCACCCCCCCACCACCCAACCCCCCCGGACCCCCCTGCACCCTACCCAACGGCTATATAGCCGTTTGGGTTGTCCCCAGCCCACCCCCAAGGCCATAACGGCTAGTAAGTATTTAACATTTTTTTTTAAAATAGGACCGTTGGACCCGGACCCGGGTGTAAAGATATGCACTTTTGCATGTTTTGCTTGCACTTTTTCGTGTTTCTGTTACACTTTTTCGATATATATATATGTATGTATGTATGTATGTATATATAGGGGTGAGATCTCTCTCTCTCACACACACATATATGTATGTATGTATGTAACCCCACCCCTGCATCTTTACATTATTTTTACTGCATATTGAAGTTTAAATTGATGCATATTATTGAGTTTGTAGGTTAGTATTTTAAGCATGGTTTGTATTTGATCTCTTATATATATATATATATAGGGTATATATGGAGCGGATCAGATGAGAATTGCTCTTAGGCTGAGAACTGCGAAGTTTAACTAATAGACTAAAAACACGAACTTTTAACCAATAAATCATAACTTATAGACCCCGTCGAAAATAATTATGAAAATGCCACCGCAAAAAATAAGCCTGAAAACCTTGAAATTTTTTGGGCGCGATGTTATTTTCCTAATTATGATGGAGAGCTTTATAAGTTATGATTCATTGGTTATTTTTTTTTTTAATTTTTTTTTACCCCGGAAGGCAAACCACCAAAATCAGTGGGGTAAATGCCGGGGGTCATTTACCAGATATTATTCACCAACAAAGTATGCATACAAAAGAGGGGGAGAATAGACCAATACGGCAATACCCCTCCCAAAAAACAAGTGAAGCCTAGAAAAGGCAAAAATATATGAGAAAGAAACCAATGGATGCAACATCATCTAATTTAAGAACACATACGGTGTTGAGGAAGCATCTAAAAGAATAGCCCCCTGTAACTCTTGTGGAATTGCATCTCCCGGTCTCCAACGAAACTGCCCCTGAAAACCATAACGGGCCACAATTCCAGCTGCCTTATTGATTTGGGCCGGAATAACCGAGAAATTAACCCTGTGGAACCGGCCCAATAAATTACCGCCCAGTTCATCCAATCTAGAATTAGACGCCTCGAATTCCACATTAGGAAACCTCAGTGCGTCCACCCATTTTCTAGCTTCTTCAAACACTTCATCGTCTTCTCCAGATGAACCGCTAAGCGGAAAACCGTCTGCCATAACCATCGCTCCCGTGTGGTCCCTGAGAAGAAAACCAGCTGAGGATTTGCCATTCCCCCTGAAGACAGCCCAATTTAATTTGTGAAACGGAGCGTGAGGTTTCACCCACCTACAAATTTGCGGCTTCCTGCGCTTGAACTAGGCTGGTAAGATTCCTAATTTCTTTAATCTTTCTCCCCCTTTTAGATTAGAATTCACAAAACACCAGTTTGACATACACTTTTGTATTTGCATAATGATCCTGTCTTCATTCTGCTCGGAACCATTCCACACCGACTCCCAGTAGGCCTTCCAAATTTTCCATGTAATAACCCCAGGTATGATAACTGTGTATAAAATGTCCAAAGATTTCCCTGATTTGCTAATCCACCATCTCATGATCTCCAATTTGATATTTGAGCCCTTCCTCCCTGTCAGATTCAATTCATTCGTAAAAAAACCCCAAATTGATCGGGAAAATGAGCAATTTAAGAGAATATGGTCTTGACTAGCACTATCTCTTTTGCAGAATGGGCATCTGGAAGGGAAAGCCACAGAGAACCTGGCTGTATGCTCCGGAAAGGGCAGACAACCATGCCACAATCTCCAGAGGAACACCTTGATTTTAGGCACCTGCTTCGGGTTCCAGATCTGAGTGTTTGAAAGCGTCCTCCCAGCGTTTAGCCACATGGCTAAGTAGGCCGATTTTGATGTAAATTCTCCATCTTTAGTATGTTTCCATGTAATAGTATTAGGCCCCCTAATAACCATGTTTTCCGCCTCCTCATGTATATGGCTAATCCTTCTCCAAATTGGAGAATCAGAGGGCTTCACCTCTCCCGGACCTCGCCTACCATACCTACTTTGCATTAGCTCAGTCCAAATGGACTGTCCCTTCTGAAAATCCCACCACAGCTTAATTGCTGAAACCTTCTGCATGTCTGCCAATGATCTTATGCCCAGGCCCCCCATGCTCGGTAGGCTTGCAAAGCTCCCTGAACCGAGCCCAGTGATGTTTCGGTTTGGAATCTTTACTCCCCCAGAAAAAAATTGCAATTTTCCCGTTGAATAACTTAATCATAGAAACCGGGAGATTAGTTGCTGCTGTTACATGGATGGGGATAGAGTTTAAAACATGTTTAATAAGTATCAGGCGTCCCCCTTGTGTAAGCAATTTACTGCTCCAAGCATTTAGCTTTCTGTCAATTGCCTCAATTAATTCTTTGCAATGAGACCACCTTGTGATACCTCTATGAAGCTGGACCCCTAGATACTTCATAGGCAGTTTAGAAACCTTCATTTCTAACTCATTCTGAATATGCAGAACCCTTCCTGGTGAGACATGTTTCCCAATTACAAAACAACTTTTCTCTTTATTGACCAATTGCCCTGTAGCTCCTTGGTACAGTTGTAAGAATTTGTTAAAGTTCTTTATAGATTTGGAGGATGCTTTTAAGAATATAATTAGATCATCTGCGAAAGCTAAATGAGATACATTTATGCTTCTGCCCAGATTAAATCCCTCAATTTTTCCTCTTTGCATCAAAAAATTCAGGCCTCTGGATAAAACTTCCAATACAATTATAAAAAGCAGAGGGGATAGTGGGTCTCCCTGTTTGACCCCTCTAAGTGGCTGGAAAAATCCAAAAGGCATCCCATTAACTAGTATAGAAATATAGGTCCCCTTCAGATTGCCCAGAATAAGACCTAACCTTCTGATCAAACCCAAACTTCTGTAAAATAGCTTCAAGAAAATGCCAATCCACCCTATCAAACGCCTTTGCCAAATCAAGTTTCAATATCATGTTTGAGGCTCTTACTTTCTTATCAAGACCACGCAACATCTCTAGAGTCATCAAAACTTGATTTTTAATTTCTCTACCCTTCATAAATCCGGCCTGTTCCTTAGAAATAATTTTAGGCAAAAGATGCGGGCGTCAGGGGCTGGTCCAAGCCGATGACAGAGAAATAATTTTAGGCAAATGCGGGCGTCAGGGGCAAATGATGGAGAAATAATTTTAGGCAAATGATAGAGAAATAATTTCTCTATCATGTTTCTTATCATTGTCACCTTTCTCCGCATGCTTCTTGTCCAAGCCGATGTGGGCGTCAGGGGCGCCGCCGTTGAGCTTGTTGCGTAGGTCTCCTGCGAGATCGATGGCTTCCTGGAAGACATCCTCCCCGGCGGCCTTGTCGGCCGTAGCATCCTCCTCGTTCTCTTGGTTCTCCTGTGCCTCAGGGATGGCCTTGCTTAGGAGGTTGCGGTTTGACTTAGTTCTTCCCATTGTTAGTTAGCTGTGCTTGGTAGCGACAAAGGAGGCTAACTTGATTGTTCTAGCTCTCAATGAAAGCACCAAATGATAGACTATAAGTGTAGAGAGAAGTGAGAACTTATAGAGAGAAGTAGTATATTTGCTCTGTATTAATGAATTTTATGAACCCTTACAACTACTCCCAGAGGGAGTATTTATAGGAAAAATCAGGACTGGGCTTCCAAGTCTTGGACTTGGGAGGCCCATCTACAATAAGGCCACTAATGGGCTGGATACAAAGTATATATAAAAGATTAAGTGTAAAACCCTGCTCTGGAGGCCATTCATGGCCGATGAGGGCACGACCGACGGGGGCGTGGCCGACGAAGACCCGACCGATGAGGTCACCGGCTCTTCCTGGCTTCTGGATCACATTCCGAGTAGACTTCTTTCTGGTCGATGGGGGTCATCTGGCCGACGAGGGTCCCACCAGGTGGTCGTGGTACCTTCTGTTTTCCCGAGTATGTGGGCCCTGGGGTCCAGGCCCATATACTCCATCAGGAGTCCCCCACTCTCTAAGCTGAGATGAAGATGAAGTGAAGGTGTTAATTTATAATATACTTGTATGTATCTTTTATTTCCTTTCACATTTTAATTAAATAATAAATACAAGAAGATGAGATGGACTACTATTTTTATTTTCTATTTCTAAAATATAGAACTTGATCAAATAAAATAATAAACATATATGAAACCGAATCAAATCGAACTACATTGAACCTAATAATCTTCACTTTGGTAAACCGAACTCTAAACAATATCAAACTGAAACCAAACAGAAACACAAATGGTTTTAGTTTTGGTACAATATCTCCCGAATCAAATAAACGGAAACTGAACCAAAATCAATGAAAACCTGGACCGTAAACCGAATTGCCCGCTCCTAGTAGAAATATTAGAAAATGGTGTACTTACAATCGGGACATGATTGAGTCAAAATAGTAATAATGTAATTATATAAAGATTACTTTGTAATTTCCTAAACTGACATTAGTATAAATACAACGTCAAGGCACCCTAGAGGGTAAGCCATTATTTTCCAAAATTATTGTTTTGTATATGGTATCAGACACCTAAGTATTTTTTCCAAACACATGTCCGGCCTCCCAAACCCTTCGGCCGCCTCGAGCACGGCGCTCGCCATGGCAGCGCAGCCTCCCACCGACATCCCTCCAGTGCCTGCTACTGGGCTCACCTGTGATTTCCACCCTCAATCTGGTTCGAGCAGCATGTCCTCGTCGTCCCAGCAGGTCTCCATGCCGATCGGTCTCCCAGCCGCGCAGACACGCTCTCCGCTTGCGGCTTCCCTCTCGCAGCGATTACATGGAATTCCGCCGCTCGACTCCTACCGGATATTCAACATGCTCGAGCCTTTTACCTGGGCGCCCTCCCTCACAGCAGCTCCTGCAAACAGTCTCCCACCACCCCCCGTTTTCCAGGAACGTGGCAGCTCGTCTCCCTTGTTTTCCAGCCCAACGTTTTCTGGTCAGCCTGGGGTGGCTCCGCTTCCGCATGCGGTGTCCTCATCACTGCCAGATTTTAATTCTCCAGCAACTTTTTTTTATCTTCCCTGGCTTCACAATTGGCTTTTTCTACCCCTAATGTGAACAATATTGTGACTACTCGCTTATCATCGGTTGAAGATTATTTGCCTTGGAGAACTCAGTTTGAATCATTTTTAGTCTCTCACAGTTTAATGGGTATTCTCGATAGATCTATTCAGACACCATCCTCTCCTATGTATGATTTATCCAGACAGGAAGTCCCCAATCCCGATTATCACCACTGGCTAAAAATTGATCAAACCGTATGTTCATGGCTTTTTGCTACTCTTGCTAGAGATGTTTTAATGGAAGTCTATGACCTAAAATTTTCTCACCTTATTTGGGATAGACTACAGAAATGGTTCATTTCTGCTTGTATTTCTCGTTCCATTGAGCTTAAACGATTATTATCTCATGTGAAAAAGGACTCCCAGATTAGGGATCAATATTTGCTAGAAATTAAGATTTTAGCAGATTCTCTAGCCGCCATTAATTGATTTGATTGAATGTGCTATTATTGGTTTGGGTCGTGGATACGAGTCTCTCATCACCACTATTGACTACATGCCGGGGATCCCTACACTTGAAGACATACGACCCATTCTACAGGCCCAGGAGCAGCGTAACCTTTTTCTCCAAGCACAGGAATCGGCCCTGGTTCATCAGGCCTTTGTTGCTTCTCATGCAGGCCGAGGGGGTGCTCCACGTGGTGGGGGCGCTCCAGGTCCTGGTGGCGGTAGAGGACAACGCGGGGGTCGCGCTCGAGGGGGACGAGGCCGAGGGGGCTACTATCAGCAGCCATATGGAGCCGCGACACCACAGCCGCATGGTGCCTACCAGGGTCAGCCCGCTCCACCACAGCCGAGAGCACCTGCATTCCCCGGGGTACCAGGTTCGGCATCGTGTAATATTATTTCTGGTATTAATTATACTGATTATTATTCTACTTCTGCTACTCACCCCACTTATGCAGGTTTTCCATCTGTGGATCACTCCTATCAGTCTCCTCCCTCCAGTTGTTTGTCAGTTATGTTTTTCTCCAGGTCACTCGGCCCTATACTGCTCTCGCTATACAACTTCACATACCCCGGCTCTGGCTGCCCTTCCTACTGGTGAGAACAATGATTCGGTCTGGTATCCTGACTCGGGGGCTTCCGCTCATATGAGTCCACATGAAGGTATTCTCTCTTATAAAACTCCTCACACTGGCCCCAATCAAGTGTGTATTGCAAATGGTACAAAATTACCTATTTCACATGTTGGTCATTTAAAGCTTCTTACTCATGGACGCCCGTTAAATCTTAATTCTGTGTATCATGTCCCACATATTAAATACAATTTATTATCAATTCAAAAATTATGTGCGGACAATGCCTGTCAAGTGTTTTTTGATAAAAATTCTTTTCTTGTTAAGGACAAACAAATGGGGGAGCTTCTACTTCAGGCAGTTAATAAAGATCACGTTTATTTTTTCCATGCCCTTCAAACTCGTGTGGTTCCTGGTCTAGTGTGGCACAAGCGTTTGGGGCATTGTGGTGATAGGATTCTTACTAGGCTTAGGCAGCATAAATTAATTTCTAATTGTTCGTCTTTTAATAATGATTGCGTCTCTTGTAAGTTGGGTAAATCCCACAGACTACCCTTTAGTGATGTTACTCATGACACTACTGCTCCTTTACAACTCATTTATTATGATGTTTGGCAATCTCCAGTTTTATCCAATCTTGGTTTTAAATATTATGTGTCCTTTATTGATGATTTCTCTAGATATACCTCGATTTATCCCATGCGTAGAAAATTTGAAGTTTTTACTCATTTTTGCAATTTCCAACGATTGGCTGAAAATCATTTGAACTTGAAAATAAAGGTTTTTCAAAGTGACGGTGGATGTGAGTTTGACAATACTATTTTTCGAGAGCATTTTTTAAAATACGGAATTTTCTTTAGAAAGTCTTGTCCTGACACTCCAGCTCAAAATGGTGTTGCGGAAAGAAAACACAAGCATCTTCTAGAATTAAATAGGACTATGCTCATTGAATCTTATGTTCCTAGTCAATTCTGGGTTGATGTGCTTTACACTGCTACTTTTATAATTAATCGTCTTCCCACACCTATTTTGAATGGTTTAACACCATTTGAAAAACTTTTTAATAAAATCATGGATTATAATTTTATGCGTGTTTTTGGCTGCTCATGTTTTCCAAATTTTATTGGTGCTTCTCATAATAAGCTATCACCTCGCTCTGTTCAGTGTGTCTTCATTGGCTATGCATCGGGATACAAGGGCTACCGATGTCTTTCACCCATAACCGGTCGTGTTTATGTTAGTAGGGATGTAACTTTTCTCGAAAATGTTTTTCCATACTCCTCATTAATCTCTTCCACCCCTATCCCCGACTCCGGCTTAACTTCATCGTGGTTGTCTACTTCTACCCATCGCCCCCACGGCCCCACCTATCCCCACTACCACCATCGAGTCTTCCTTCTCCCGCCTCTCCATCAGCTGCCACCTCTCCTATTCACAAATCTCCTGCAGCCATTTCCCCTCCTCCTTACGCCACACCTGCAGTGACTCCTAGCCCCTCAACCACTGCCATATCCCCACCTGGCCGTACCCCTTCTCCACCCGACAGCCCTTCCTTTTGCTCACCTGACCGCACTTTATCCACGACAAACCCGCCCCAGTCCACGGTTGCTCCTCTCAATATCCATCCCATGCGCACATGCGCTAAGGATGGTATTTTTAACCCAAACAAATTTTTACTTTAAGTGTTTTTTCTCCCCCGGATGATCCAACTTGTTTTACACATGCAAATAAAAGTGAGGTTTGATGGGCAACCATGGCAGATGAATTTAATGCTTTAATTGCCAATAAAACTTGGGATTTAGTACCTTGGGATCACACTAAAAATGTGGTTGGTTGTAAGTGGATTTATAAGACTAAATATTGTTCTGATGGGTCTGTTGAGCGGCATAAAGCTCGATTAGTTGCTCGGGGGTTTAAACAACAGACCGACATTGATTTCAGTGAAACGTTTAGTCCTGTGGTTAAACCTACTACTGCTCGTCTTATTTCATCTGTTGCTATTTCTTTGGGGTGGTCTGTTCGACAACTTGATGTGAAAAATGCTTTCTTACATGGTTTCTTAACCGAGGAGGTTTATATGCGTCAACCACATGACTTTATTCATCCATCTTTTCCTAATCATGTTTGTCGTTTACGCAAAGCACTTTATGGTCTCAAACAAGCTCCCAGAGCTTGGTTTCATCGTTTCAGTGGTTTTTTGTTGAGTCGGGGTTTCACTCAAAGCAAAGCTGATTCTTCTATGTTTGTTTATCGTTCTCAGTCACAAGTTGTGTATATTCTTCTATATGTGGATGACATCCTTATCACAAGTTGTGTATATTCTTCTATATGTGGATGACATCCTTATCACTGGTTCTTCTTCGTCGTTTGTTTTATCTGCAACTCACCAATTATCTCTTCAGTTTGCCATGAAAGATTTAGGTGACATTCATTATTTCTTGGGCATTCAGGCTAAACGCACGCCCAAAGGTTTATTTTTGTCACAGGCTAAATATATTTCAGATCTCTTGCATCGCTTTCATCTTCACACCATTAAGCCTGTGCGCACCCCACTACCATCTCGTACCACCCTCTCTCTCACAGATGGGGAACTTTTATCTGATGCTACTAAGTCTGAGTATCGCATTATGGTAGGTGCTCTTTAGTATTTAATTATAACTAGACCTGATATTACATATGTTGTTCATCTGGTTTCCCAGTTTACACATGCTCCTCGTACTGCTCATTTATTGGCTGTCAAGAGAATTTACAAGTACTTACAGGGAACATCAACTCACGGTCTATGGCTCCATTCTGCCGAAACATTTCTGTTATTATGTCATATTCTGATGCAGATTGGGCAGGTTGTCCTAATAGTTCTCGTTCCATTACTGGCTATGCGGTCTTTCTAGGCTCAAATCTCATATCTTGGAGGTCTAAAAAGCAGCCAACCGTATCCAAATCATCCACTGAAGGAGAATACCGGGCCATTACTTATACTGTAAAAGACACCATTTTTATTAGGTCTCTCCTAGCTGACATGGGTATCTACATTTCAGCTCCAGTACAACTTCACTGTGACAACGTCTCTGCCTCATACCTTGCATTCAACCTTATTCAGCATAATCGAAGCAAGCACATCAAGATTGATTATCATTTTGTTCGTGAGCGGGTGGCTCATGGCGATCTTGTTGTGAAGTATATTCCTACTCAGTTTCAGTTAGCTGACATTTTACCAAAAATTTGTCTAGTCAGCGTTTTGAATTTTTACGTTTCAACCTGCACGTTGTTTCCCCTGCACAGATTGAGAGGATGTAATAATGTAATTAGATAAGGATTACTTTGTAATTTCCTAAAGTGACATTAGTATAAATACAACGTCAAGGCACCCTAGAGGGAGCCATTATTTCCCAAAATTATTATTTTGTATAGATAGTAGTTTAGCTCGGCTGGGAGCTACATGTTAGGGTTCACATTACATAACCATTGTTCATGTTTGTATGTGGTCTCCTACAATGCAAGTTTATCACAATATATTTGATAATGAAACCGATTTCAAATCAATGGGCATTGCTAGTAGCTTTGAAGGGCGGTAGGGTCTGCTGCAAAAATTCAAAAACCTACTAGCTAGCTGCGAAATTGCGAATTGCAAAGGCAGAAGGCTGAACGACGACTTATTCAGCAGAGGGAGCTAATGCTGGTGAACTGGAGAACTATTCTACAATGTAGAGAAGCAAGGCCGGTAGTCTGCAACAACAGGCTGAACACTCTACTCTGTTCAAGATTACAACTCTCAACTGATTACGACAATTAATATTTACAATTTCTTTTTGTGAAAGATGAAATAATAGATATAATTTTGTGAACATGGGTACTTTGATTCAGTGATTTGTGGCATTTTATAATGCATAGTAGGGGTGGTGATAAACCCAGAATACTAAACAATCAAGCAACCAAAGCAGTTAAGAAGAAGCACATAGAAGATTATGAGATGAAAAACCAAATCTGGTATACCGTGTGAAACCCCGCTGCTCTCCGTGGAGAAGGAGAGCAGCAGAAACCTTACTCTCTCTCTATCTCGCCTCTGCGTCTCTAAAGCCTCATGAAAAAATTAGGGTTCCCGTAAGTTAGCCTCCTTTTATAGGAGAAGTTGGCTAACTTACGGGTTACAAGGAAGCTAACGGGCTGATACACATTTGTGGCCCGTATTACACGTTTAATTAATAACTACACAAATACAAAGATATTTAATTAGATTGGACACCATAAAATATTCCTAACAATCTCCCCCTTGGTGTTCAATCGTATTGAATCAGCATTGCAGCGCATATATCTTTGTCTTTGTTGTTATTCAGCTTCCTTTTCATTTGAACTTGACTTCTTGAGATGGCTTCATGAAGAAATCCTCGCAATCTCCCCTTTGATGTTTTCTTAGCAATTTGATCTTTGATGTCGGGGGTTGAGCAATCTTTTTCTTGAAAACCTTGCATTTCAAAAGTAGCTCTTGATAAGCTTGGATGAAGTCCGGTGGCGCCTCTAGAATGATAGTTTTGATGAGTTTCAGACGCCCATGGAATTCATCTTCAAAGTTTGATTATCTAACCTTTGTCTCCTCCACAATGTAGTCTTTTTGACTATTTGGAATGGATGCATTTGAGGAGAACTTGTCGATGGCACAGCGGAAAATGATGGTTGACTTGTGAGTGTAGCTGACCATTTGAGTTGCGGAGATAGTAGAGAGAGTGTTGGAGGAGAGAAGTGTCCCAAAATGATTTTTTGAGTGTTAACAGCATGTGGACCACTCTCCCCCTCATGACGATCCGATGAATCGGGGCGTCATGCCTTTATTCTTTTATTCTGCGGAAATAAAACAGGAAAAAACAAGCAGAATGAAAAGAAGATAACGTAGCCCTCCGGGGTCGTGAAGACGCCCGTTATCACTATTATAGAGATAAACTCTGAAGCGATGGCCTGAAAATGATGGTGATTCGTATGTTGCATCAGCATGACTTCCTTCCAATCATTGGTCTACATCTGTAATAGATGAGCCCTATGGAAGTTCTCACGGGTCATGTAAACCTGCAACTGACTCAAAAAGTGCGTCTGTGTCCTAGAAAATTTCAAACATTTGGAAGTGATTAACTAGACATGACGTGATCAATGAAAGTTCAGTGGCATGGGGTTGAGGCCACTGTAGTCACTATCACTTGCCTCGGAAGGAGACAGTAATGAGAGATGCGGTTCCCCGTGAAATATGATTAAGCACCTGTTTGTTGGGAGGCAAGTGAGTGGTCTTGGGTAAGGATACACATGCACTGTTGGACAAGATGCAGTGACTTCTAACCGGGATCTGATTAAATCAGCCCTGAACCTAATTGGGAATTGTCCAGAGTATTTGAGTGGCTAGGAGTAAATGTTCAATACATAGCAGGCAGTTGAGGTAGCAGATTCATCATTGATTATTGTATTCTTGCTCACTTGAGCCTTCTGCTTCCTAACGCTCATAATGTTCAGTCACTCACTCGCTCACTCACTCACTAACGCTCGGCTTTGTCCCTTGGGTAGGCTTAGTTGGGTTTACTAAGCCATAGGGACTTGTTCTCTCATTACATTCTTCATTTTCTCTCGGTACTCCCCCTCAACTGGAGCACTCGGTATGCTTTATCGTTGTTAGGGACCGGAGAGGATAACATTGAACACTCCCCCAAGAATGTTGCATCCGTTGAGAGATTCCTTGCTTTGTCGGTGTAAGGCGCCAGGAGGAGAAAACTGAAACTCCCCCTCAGAATGTGCAAGGTTTGATTGCTCACAGCTTGTCATACCTGCCATGTGTGTGGAGCAATCTGAACAAGTACCACACATGACGGTTTTCCTGAACTCATCATGTAGAATTTCAGCATATTGATGATCACATAATGTTGATGAGTTAGAGGAGGCTTCGGTGGTTGATTGTTGATTGTTGTAAGATGACCTTTGATGCGAGGTTGATTGAATTATCTACGATTTTCAGACCTTTACATTGAAGCTTATACCCTATTTGACCTTTTGTTTGACTTTGAAAGAATTTGATCAGATTTGCCCAAATTGGCCTTTTGACATCGGTGATTTACAAAGTTTTTCGGAAAACCAATGCTTTGACCCTCAAAGACTGCGAGTGAGGGGGCGTGAAAGTGGACTCTGGGGTAACCCCCAGAAAAAATGTAGATTGTTTCGTTAGCTTTCCAACAAAAAAAAGTTTGCTCAAATCGGATCACCGAGTCAAAAGTTATGGCCAAAACAGTGCGGTGTCGCCGAAAATCTCGAATTTTTGAGTTTTTGAGAAATTTCTTCGAAGTTGAGGTTCTCGATGTAGAATAGCGAAATCAGGTGGATTTAGAGAAAATTCTAAGGCAAAACCTCGAAATCCTAATCTCGAGGTTTAAATATCGAGATTACAATCTCGATGCTATTAGCGGCTGAATTAGCCTGATTGCCTCCATCAAAATAAGACCTAATCCAAAAACCACAACCCATCAAACCAGTATCCTTATTGTAAGCACAAATAAAAAAACAACAAAAAACTGAGTCCTGACAGAAAAACAAATACCAACAAAAATAAAATTCCAGATGATGGAGTTTGCATGCTTCCATCCCTCCTGCTTCCTCCATCACAATTTTTAGATGTCTCAGAGGCGGGCGTTGTAACCCGCCTCCTCCCCGTTTTTTGGATTGCTCAGCTCCACCTCCATGTTGTTGTGTGGTGCCTCTTGTTCTCCACTACCCACTTGCCTCCGCTTCTGTTCCATCTTGTGTCCCATCTGAACATGGCCTGTCTCCTGTTGCGGTTCTCCCTGCACTCCCGATTTTGCCATCCCTATTCTCCCTTCCTCTTCTTTCTCTTTCCCATTACCTGCTGGGACTAGCCATTTATTTGCTGGGACTAGCCATTTATTCCCTCCTACTGTTGCTTTTCCTTTTGAGGCTCTCAGTTCAGGCCCAAATAGTAGCTCTCCATTCCTGCCTTTACCCTCAGTGTAACGCGGACAAAATCTTTCTGCGTGACCAATAATTCCACAGGCAAAACAAAAACTAGGTAATTTTTCATACCTAAATCTCACACAAAAAGTTCCCCCTTCATCCGATTGGAGAAATAACTTTCTTTTCAAAGGCTTGTTGAATACAATATTAATCCTTATCCTCATATAAGGATTCCATTCTCCAGAGACAAATATGTTCATCCACCTTAATGAACTTCCCCACAAAATTTTCAATTTTTATAGCATTTTCCACAGAAAAAACCCCATTGGCACATCATGAACCTGTAACCAGAAATCAGCTCTATTCAGAGGTACTTGTAAAGGCAAATCTCTTTGCTTTAGCTTAGCAAGGACAATAAGGTTTTGGTCGAAAGTCCATGTTACTTCCTCCAGAACACATTTCAGATCATTCTCGCTTTAGAATTGGAACATATATCTGCGTGCCACTATCTCAGTAATAGTAACACCTCTAACAGGTTTCCACACATTAGTCATGGTATCACGAAAAAATGAGAAGCGTACCGATTTTTCAGAAGTTATAGTTCCTATTAATGTCACTGTCGCTGTTCTTCCCCCCGGGGTTCTGGGGAAGCAAGTAGCTCGAGGCCGCTGGACCCGACGCCGTTAAGTGTAGCCCCCGGGAAGAAGAGGAGGAAGACGAAGGCTGGCCCCCAGAAGAAAGTAAGGGCCGTCGACCAAGGGGGGGCAGTTGATCTGCCGGAGGGTCACTCCTTCTTGGACACCGCCGCTCTGGAGATTAAGTCCCAAGCTGACAAGGCGGACTTCTACATTACCCAGTTGCACGTAGGGCCCTCGGCCGTAGTAGTCGAGCCAGGTCCCGATGACGTGTTATCCCGCCCCCTTGAGGGATGCATAGCCGTGCACGTGCTCTCGGTTTATATGGGCCTCCGGTTCCCTCTCCATCCGTTCCTCCGGGAGTACCTGAGGTACACTGGCCTGGTTCCCTGTCAATTGACCCCCAATAGCCACTCATACATAGCCGGGTTTGTGAACCTGTGCAGACTCCGGGGGGTTACACCGAGCTTGGAGTTATTCTTCCAAAGTTTCAACCTATACCGGGGGGGCCATACCAATGCCGAGGGCTATGCAAACTTACAGCAGATAGCCCAGTTCAAACTGTTCACCGAGGCCCCTTCTTCCAACAAAGGGTGGAGAGAGCGATGGTGCTACATCAGACTGACCGACAGCCCTTTCCCGAGGGAGTTGCGGAATCGCTTCCGGCGCCACGTGAAGGTCAAGAGTGCCGCCCTCGAGGAGGATGGTATGAAGATTGCCGAGATTCCCGAGGGTCGGGAAAAGAACATAACCATCAAGGAGTGCATCCTCGAGGAAGACCTATATGCCCTCGGATTCCTGAGGTATCGGTTCATTGGGGAGACCGATGAGAAGTATCCCCCCTACGATAAAGCCTTCGTGGGAGCAGGAGGTAGTGGCCGGGGGCTTTACATTTTTGTACTTAGAGATTTTTTGTCATGTTTGTTGTCGTGTCTCTGACCCCTCGGTTCTAACCTTTTAACTTGTTGTTGTCGTTCTTTGCAGGTAGAAAGATGAATGCCAACGCCCTGTTCGCAAAGAGGAAGGGCAAGACCTAGGCAAAGGAGAAGGGGCCCTCGGGCCAGAAGCCAGCCGACTCGTTTTTTCTGAAGGTCGTAGAGCCTTCCGCCAGGGACGTCCATGCTGCTGTGGAGACCGGGGGGTCGAAGGCCGAGGCGGCCGTTAAGAAGAAGAGGAGTGATAAGGGGGTGGAGCCCCCTACCAAGAAGCAGAAAGCCGCCGGGGGCGCTGTCGGGGCGGTGGCCCCCTGATAGTTATTGATGACATGCCCGCCGCTGATGGGCCTCTGGCCTCGATCACCCCGAAGGCTCGGGTGAATCCATCCCCGGAGGAATTACCCCGGGAGGTCCGTCAGCTCTCCTTTGCCCCCGGCGCTTCACTGATGCACGACATTGCCGAGCCGAGGGCCTTCCTGCGGGGCATCACCTCGAAGATGGACAGGGAAGTCTTCGAGACCTACGACGATGATGCCCTCGAGAACAGGATCCTCCGGTCCTCTCTCACTGTAAGTATCTGCTTCCTTTTTCCTTCTTTTATCAGTTTAGTATTATTTTTTCCTGAGGAATAATCTAACCCCTCTGATCATTGTTTGCAGGCCTGCATAGCCCTCGGGGAACATCCCCGGAGGCGCGAGGAAAGGCGCCTTCACGAGGCCGCCCAAGATAAGAAGATGGAGGGGCTGATTCGCAAGAACTCCGAGGCGATGAAGCATGCTGCACAGCTGGAGGAGGCCCTCCGGGAGGCGAAGGCGGCGGCGGAGAAGGCCAAGGCTGTCGGCATAGCCGAGGGCAAGGCTGAGGCCGAGAGGGTTGCTACCGAGGCGGCGAAGAAAGCTGCCGATGAGGCCAAAACCGCCCAGGAGGGAGCCGTGGCCAAGGCCCGAGGGGAGGCAGTTGCTGAGTTTCTTGCTGAGGACTGGAGGACCGAGGGACATAAGGAGTGGGTGGCCTCCGTGGTGGCGGCCTCGGTGGATGCTTGGGTAGAATGCCCCGGGGTTGACTGGCTGACAGACAGGGGCGACGCCTACTATCAGGGGGGTGAGTTTTTTACCCAGCATTTGATTTACCGGAGGCTCGCCAGGCACTTTGGCGTATCCCTCGATCAATTTGACCCCTCGGCATACGGCCTCCCTCCATTGCAACCAGACGTGAGAGTTCCCCTCCCCCCGGGCGAAGGGCGGCCGACGATATATGATTCTGTGATGATGGGGGGTGATGGGGGCGGAGCCGTCGGAGGTGATGCTGCCGGGGAAGAAGTCTCCTCCAAAGCTGCCGTGGAAGATGCCCCCGGAGATAACGATGCTGAAGCCGCAGAGAAAATTTGTACTTAGTTAATATTTAAAACTTTTGTTGTAACGGACACCTTTGATCCTCTGGCTTCGGCCTGTCTGTAACGATTACATTGACTCCTTTTTGTTGTAATTGAATGATTGCCTTCGGGCTTTGTATATATGGTTTGTTTTCCTTAATCCATTTCTTCTTGAATGTATGCCTTCGTCTCGTTTTGGATGTATGCCTTTGCTCCTTTGAATGTATGTTTTAGGACTTAGAATATTTTCTGATTGTAGCTTGCCCTTAGAAGCCTTCGGTAGTTAGGCACCCTCTGCTGGATATACGACCGAGGGTTCAGCAATAATTAGGACTTAGAAAATTTTTCTAAGCGTAACACACCACAGGGCCTTCGGGTGTTTGCAGTTCAATTGCTGTGTGGTGATTAGGTTGAGAACCCAATTCCTAGAACTTAGAAAAATTTCCAGGTGTAGTTTTGCCCTCGGATGCCCTTGGCTGGTAGCCTCCTTCCTGATGTGTGAATATTTGGACCGAGGGCCCAATGCACAAGACTTAAAATTTTTTTTGCAAGTGTAGTATGTCATGTAGCCTTCGGCTGCTGTGGAGCCCCAACTGAAATGTTGATTAGGTCGGGGGCCAATTCTTTAGGACTTAGAAAATTTTCCTAAATGTTTGAATACAGGTGTAGCCTTCGGTAGTTGGGCACCCTATGCTGGATATACAACCGAGGGCTCAGCAAAAGTTAGAACTTTAGAAAATTTTTCTAAGTGTTGATTCCTTGTGTACTGTAGCCTTTGATTGATAGGTAGCCTTCGGCTATTAGGTCCCTTGAGATGAGGGTGAGATATGTAGGACTTAGAAAGATTTCTAAGTGTAGATTTTCCCTTGGGAGCCTTCGGGAGATGGCATCCCTTCTTGATGTATGAGTAGTTGACCGGGGGAAAAATATGTAGGACTCAGAAAATCTTCTAAGTGTAGATTTTCCCTCGGGAGCCTTCGGGAGATGGCATCCCTTCTTGATGCATAGCCTTCGACTGCCATATTCATTTAGCTGTAATATTGATTGGGCCGGGGGGCCCTCTTTAGGACTTAGAATTTTTTCAAGTGCTGCTTCCTTGTGTAGCCTTCGGGTGATAGGTGCCTTCTGACTCTACATTACTTTGCGAGATGCCCGGGGGCTACTCATTTAGGACTTAGAATATTTTCTAAGCGTAAATCGATGTTGAGCTTCCGGATGTAGATCCCTTGTGTTGTATGAGTTTCTGGCCGAGGGCCAAATATGTGTGGAATCCTGTTGTTGTGAAGAAAGCCAATGAGGAGTGTGTGCCCTCGGCATCTACTTTAAAAGTTGTAGATTTTGACCCTTGTTATGGGGTAAGGGCCTTCGGTATTAGTGCGTAACAGATGCCCTCGGTATTTGTTTGAATTACCGTTTAGTAGACTTTGGATAGTCCAGTCCCTTCGTATTGTTGAATCCTTCGGTGCTTGTGTGACCGGAGATGACCAGGCAGTGGACTTAGCCGTTTCTTGATGATATTTGTTTGAGTAGTATCCTTCGGGAAATAGGAGCCTTCAATTATCGGAGGTGTTCCCGTGGGGAGCCCTCGGCATGTTGTGATCTGTTGGAGTGTACTCTTTGATTTCTCGCTGAGTCTACTCCCCCTCACCCCCCCCCCCCCCTTTTTTTTTGGTTGGTGGTGAAGGGAAGGCATCAAGAAACTTGGTTTCTTGGTAAGGCTGGGCCTATTAGGAGACCATCAGAATACACCAATGACTCTCCTCCCTCGGGTTAACCTTCCGAGTTCCGAGGGGATCGAGGGTCGTTTCCTGGGCACAAGATATGGTGGTCCGTAACCTGCCTCCCCTTGGGGGATGGCGCGGAAAGCGCCTCATTTTTGAAAGTCGTCCCCTCGGCGCTAGACATGGTCCGTGGCCTGCCACACCCTGGGGGTGGTGGCGCGGGGAGCGTTTCGGTTTGGAAGTCGAATCCTGGGCATTTCTCGTGCCTTTCATACCCTTGGGGTGATGACGCGGATAATGTTCCGTTTTTGAAAGTCGAATCCTGGGCATTTCTCATGCCTGTCATACCCTGGGGGTAGTGACGCGGAAAGCGTTTCAAGGAAGGGTTTTCATTTGCACACTAGTTGCAAATGGCCGGGGGCACTACGTTCCGCCGGCACCGATGGTGGCGCCTTCGGTATATGCGTCCTCGTGGGGTACGACTTTTAGAAACAACACTTGGTGTTAGTTTCGATGTGTAGCCCCCGGTACTTGGTACCGAGAGGTCTTCTGTAGGAACACTTGGTGTTCTCTTTTGTTGCAGTTGATGGAGGTGTCTACCCTCGGTACCTGGTACCGAAGGGTCTTCAAATGAAACACTTGGTGTTTCCCAACAGATGTTTGGAAGTTGATAGGAGAGCATATCCCGGGCACGGGGTGCCGAGGGGTCTTCTGTAGGAACACTTGGTGTTCTTATCTTTTCTTTTTTGATGTTGAAGGTGGAGATGCGTGCCCCCGGCACTGGGCGCCGAGGGGTCTTCTGTAGGAACACTTGGTGTTCTTATCTTCGGTGTTGAGGGCGGAGATGTGTACCCCCGGCACAGGGTGCCGAAGGGTCTTCTGTAGGAACACTTGGTGTTCTTATCTTTGATGTCGATGGCGGAGATATGTACCCCCGACACTGGGTGCCGAAGGGTCTTCTGTAGGAACACTTGGTGTTTTGATGTTGAGGGCGGAGATGTGTACCCCCGGCACTTGGTACCGAGGGGTCTTGACTGAGAGCACATGGGACCTGTAGTTGGTATGAGGGCTTGGCCGCTCATAAGTGTTTTGTTCTTGGTGCCTTGAATGTATCTTCATTCTTCGAAATTGGAGGCCTTGTGCCATAAGATAGTACATTCACTAGTTATGAGGGCTTGGCCGCTCTTACATTATTGATAAAATTTAACTAAGTGGTGTACATTCCAAAGCCTAGGGACTTCTTTCTCGTTGGGACGTTTGAGCTTGTAAGTTCCAGGTTTGATGATGGCTGCTATGATGTAGGGACCTTCGAATTTTGGTGCCATTTTGCCTCCCTCGGTCGGTTGGCTGGCTTCCCTCCTCCGGAGGACATAATCCCCCACTTGGAAATCCCTGATGCGAACTTTGGCGTCGATGTAGCTTTTGACTTGCCTTCGGTAATTTTCCGCCCGGATGAAGGCCTTCTCCCGGCGTTCCGAAATGAGGTGGAGGTCGAGGGCCATGTTGCTTTCGTTGACCTCGGGGTCATATTGGATCACCCTCCGGGTGGGAAGGGTGACTTCCGTAGGAGCTTTGGCTTCAAAACCGTAGCAGAGGGAGAAGGGTGTTTCACCTGTTGCTCGCCGAGGGGTGGTGCGGTAGGCCCAAAGGATGTTGTGGAGTCCTTCCACCCAGCCACCGCCCTCGGCCTCCAGCTTCTTTTTGAGGCCCTCGAGCAAGGTCCGGTTGGCATTCTCTACTTGCCCGTTGCCTTGAGGGTAGGCAACGGAGGAGAAGGTGTGTTTGATGCCCCATGCCTCCAGAAGGGTACAGAAGGGGGCTGCCTCAAATTTTGTCCCATTGTCGGAGATGATCTGCTGGGGAACGCCAAACCTTGTGAGGATGTTCTTGAGGACGAAGTGACGGCACTTCGCCTCTGTGATGCTGGCGAGGGGTTCAGCCTCCACCCACTTGGTAAAGTAGTCGACGACCACAATGATGTATCTGTTGTTGGATGTACCCCTCGGCAGAGGGCCCACAAGGTCTATCCCCCATCGAGAAAAGGGGACATATGTGCTGATGGGGGCATAGTTGACCGCTGGCCTGCCGGGGGCTCTCTGGAAATGTTGATATGCGGTGCACCTCCGGGCAAGGTCAGCACAATCCCTGGCCATGGTTGGCCAGAAGTAGCCCTGGAGATTGAGCCTTCGGGACATGGAGAAGGGTCCCTGGTGAACTGAGCAAGTGCCACTGTGCACTTCCTCCATTGCGACCTCGGCTTCATCCGGATGAAGGCACCGAAGTAGCGTGCCATTGTAAGATCGTTTGTAGAGCCTTCCATCTTCGATGGTGTAGCTAGAAGCCCTCAGCTTTGCCAGTTTAGCGCGGGCCTCATTCTCGGGTAGCTGCCCTGTGGAGATGAAGGTGGTGATATCTGAGATCCAATCCTCTTGACGTTGTTGTATGTTCATAACGGGGCTTGCATGGATGCTTGAGAGGCTGAGTTCCTCGATTTTGGCAATTTTGGAGATGTGCTCGGGGGAGTCGGCCGAGAGCTTAGATAATATGTCGGCCTCGGAGTTCTGAGCCCTCGGTATTTGAGTGAGAGAGTGTGCCTCAAATACCTTAAGCAACTCCTTGGCCGCTCCCTTGTACTGTTTCATTCTCCCCTCCTTGGTCTCATATTCTTCGGAGATTTGGCCAACGACCAACTTGGAGTCGCATTTGATGTGGATCTGCCGAGCCCTCATGTTGGCAGCCAGCCGAAGGCCACATAGGAGGGCCTCATATTCGGCCTCGTTGTTGGAGACTTTGAAGGAGAAGCGGATCGCATAGTAGGCTCTGAAGCCCTCGGGAGTAATGAGGACTACCCCTCCCCCGCATGCTTTGGTCGCGGAGGAGCCATTGGTGTAGAGGGTCCACCAGTCGTCCGAGGTAGCCGAGGGCTTCCTATCCGCGGCTGCCCTTGCGGTACATTCCGTCACAAAGTCCGCCAGGGCCTGGCCCTTGATGGCAGGCCTTGGACGGATGTCAATGTTTTACTGGCTCAAGAAGATAGCCCATTTCACCATGCGGGAGGAGCTGGTGGGGCTCCTCATGAGGGCGCCGAGGGGTTGATGAGTGAGGACCTGAACCGGGTGAGCCTGAAAGTAGTGGCCCAACTTCTTGACGGTCCAAACGATGGCCAACACCGTTTTCTCCACAGGAGAGTACCTGAGTTCGGCCTCCCTTAGAGTCTTGCTAACGTAGAAGATGGCATGTTGGATGCCGTCTTCCTCCCGGATGAGCACAGAGCTGATGGCCGCCGGGCTGACCCCAAGGTAGAGATAGAGGGTTTCCCCTACCTTTGGTTTGGATAACACAGGGGGTGAAGATAGATACCGTTTGAGCTCGTCGAAAGCCCCCTGGCATTCTGGAGTCCATAGGAAGCCAGCCGTCTTCCTCATGATCTGGAAGAAGGGTAGAGACTTCTCCGCTGAT